ATATATGTATATATATTATAAAAATGTACTGTTTCGATTTTTTTCCAAAAATGTACTTCCTGCATTTTACAAACTCACTTCAGTTACTCAATTATTTTGTCTCTCTGTCTTTACTCACAGCTTATCACTCCACATGCTATCCGGGTACAGACACCACCACGACACATTCCAGGAGTGGTAGAAGTGACTCTGTCCTACAAATCCAAACAGTTCTGCAAGGGAGCCCCTGGAAGGTTTATTTACACAGGTAAATGTGACTGCTGATCAGAGAGAATATCCATTGTCCTTATCCCAAGGGGCAACCATGATCACAAAAGTCCATGTCTCTGCTATCAAATGCTGGAGTATAGGAGTGCCTCCAGGAATACACCTTCAGGAACACACCACCAAGGCTTTTTCTTGTCTATATTTTAGACCATGTTAAAGTGCTAGAATAACAATTTTGTATTTTACAGCCCCAGTGGTCAAATTAAAGTGGACCTATCTAAAATTTTACACAAATCAGTAGAGCCCATGACAGCAACGTAAGCAAATCACATTATTATTTGGAATAAACACAATTTTTTCCATGAGGAACTCAACTGGTGTAGCCGGATTTACTAGGAGAGGAGGTCATCACTTAGCAAAGTGTTGCTGTGATTACACCAAATAATAAGTCATTGTGGAATGAAACAGGATTTTGATTGTATATGGTTGGATAACTAAGGTGAACATGGCTTCACTTTTTATAGTTTGCTAAGTAAATGGTCTCTATAGTCCTACATTAGATCAACCCCTTTTTCTTTGCCCACCAGGAATATTATGGATTTAAAGTGTTTAGTCAAAAGCTTCATTCCTGATTTGCCCATTACTTAACATTCTGCATAGTAATGATCAACATGCCGGTAGATCCTGCCAGTGCACACCTCTTCCTGCTTTATCACATCAACAATACAAGCACAGTGGTATAGTAGTTAGCGCTTCTGTCCTGTAGTACTGGGGGGGTCCCTGGTTTGAATCCTGGCCAGGTCAACATCTGCAAGGAGTTTGCATGTTCTCCCTGTGCTTGTGTGGGTTTCCTCCAGGTACTCTGGTTTCCTCCTACACTCCAAAGACCTGCTGGTAGGTTAATTGGCTCCTGTCTACATTGTCCCTGTATGTATGCATGTGAGATAGGGACCTTAGATTGTAAGCTCCGCACATCAGGGACTGGTTTGAATGTGTACTGTGTAAAGCACTGAGTAAGTTGTCTGCACTATAAAAAATACCAATAATAAATAAATAAACAATACAAACCATAGGAAGCACCTCGTGGTTAGTGCTGTCATGCTGATGTCTGCTGTGCCTGATGCACTCTACAGACACAACATCCTGTAGACTACTGTTGTCAGCCTGTAATCAATCAACAGCCTTTAGTTGTTGATTGGCAGCAGCTCCTGTATTTCTGTCAATATGGCAAAGTCTCATTATTAGGCTCTACCCCCTCCCTTGCTCCTTGGAGATAAGAAGAAAAGATAACGGTCAAGTGACCGCTAAAGAAGGTATAAAAAAAAAAAGGTATTTATTTGCATTTTTGGTAATTCACCAAGTATAGTAGTTTAATGAGAATGTCTACGTAGTTATTGTTGAATGGAAGGCTTGAGGTTTACAGATGCTTTAGAACAAGGTTAGGCAAACTCCGTCCCTCCAGCTGTGCTGCAACTACAAATCCCATGAGGCATTGCAAGACTCTGACAACCACAGGCATGACTCCAAGAGGCAGATTCATGGTGGAATGTGTTGTTTTACCACAGCTGGAGGGCCGGAGTTTGCCTACCCCTGCTTTAGAACATCATGGAGTGCAAAGAGTCTGTTGTTTTCTGACAGGATTTGTCTGAAAGACTTGCAGTGATATAGGGGGGTTGAAATAGACTGTTCACTTTGCAAGGGAATTTTTTCTTAGCTTAGTAAATGAGGCAAAACTCTGCTGATTTCCATCATCCAATCATGTGCAAGCAAAGATACAGTTTTTTCCCCTTGCACACATCACACAGTGAATTTTCACCACATTCACTAAGCTAAGGTAAAATTCCCTTGCCAAGTGCACAGCCTATTTACATTTAGTCAACCAACCCCAATGGATCAGCAATGCACTCCCATGATAGATGCCCCCATGCACATAAATGCAATTATGCAAGGCAGTTATACAAATTATGGATAGGAACAAGGGTTTTAAAAACATTATCACACAATCATAAGATAGTTTACATTAAGCTGATCTATTTTATGTACTTATCTGAAAAAAAAATGTAAAAGCCTATAGTTGCTCTTTAGGATGGAGCCAAGAGAGCCAGAAGTCCCTCTAATGATTTTGTATGTATTCCAGGCAATTTAACAGGATTATAGTTCTACTAATTGTTATCATAATTATTTTCATGCAGTGTACATCAAAAATAATAAATATTCTGGGCACTGCAGAAAAAGCACAGACTTCATTCCTTTCCAATTTATAAATATATAGATCTATTGATATATATTCAGCTCCTGTACATTTTTTAATGAATCTATGCAGACATAGTTCAGAATGTATAGTCTTATTTAAAGAGTAACATTTTGGGGAAAAAATCATCCAGGTTAACTATACAAATTGCAAGAATTTTTAAATATTTTTTTTTGAGATTGAAGAAACCAGTGTTTGTTTCTCTCTGCACTTTCTAGCACTGATATCTGAATAGAAAGGTCTAATTATTATTATTAATATTTAGGATTTATATCGCGCCAACAGTTTGCGCAGCACTTTGCAATATAAGGAAGGCATCACAGTTAAAATACAATTCAAGACAAGATGGTTATAGGGATGTTCAGATACCAAATCCAGGTTCTTGGCATTTTCACGAGAACTACCAGGGTTGCAGTGGTTGCAGCTGTAACCGGGCTCTGGCACTCCAACACTGTCCTGAAATCATTAGTCTGTATTGTTTTAGAAAAACTGTCACATGACAATAAACAACTTTTGTTCCCCGTGGTCCCTGTGTGTGTTGTAAACTAGTCACCACTCCAAGCTCACTCCCGTGATGGACTACAATCTCATGTTTAGTTTACTCATTTGTATTAAGATTGTAGTCCATCCCGGGAGCGAGCTTGGAGCGGTGACTACTTTCCAACACGCACAGGGACCATGGGGAACAAAAGTAGCCTCCCTCCAGAAGGAAGGACAGTGTCAGCACCAATTCAGAGATGATTGGAGGATCTACAGCCGAGTGATACACAAATAAAGCTGGGTATACATGGTTAGAATTTGGAACGAACTTTCATTCGACTTTCCAATCGTTGATGAGGTGATATCGATGATCGATTTCGGGCACAGGGACGCAAAAAATCCAAAGGATCATGGAAAATTTTTCTCAAATGAGCAAAAGTCTAACAGCGAATGTGGTTTTCATTCGAAAATCTCCATTCATTCCTAAACCAAACGTTAAAAAAAAGAAGAATTAAATTAAATTTCGAATGACAATTTCGAAAGCCTCTGATGGTATTATCGATCGTTTTTAACGGAAAATTTCGTACAAATCTTTGTATACCCATGTATACCCTACTTAAGCTACATTCTTGTTAATAGTTGGGGTACTTGAATGCATTTTTAAGATTTAACTCCTGAGTTCAGTGTCACTCTAAAGGCAAAGGGTGAACACATCAAATATTGATTTGATTTAATTTGTTTCTGTTTATTAAAAAAAAGATATGCATTGTATTATTTTTGAAAGCATCCTAACTTTACAGTATTTTTTCCAAAAGTGCCTAAAATTTTTGCATAGCATACTGTATATTTATATATACTATATATATATGTAAATATATATACTGTGTATATATATATGCATATATATATATATATACATATCAAACATATACAGTATTTTTTTTTAAATAAAATGGTGCAGACTAGTAGTGTGCTGTAACCTGTTATCTTTTGAAACAATAAGTAGACAAACACTATAAAATCATGATGCAAATAATATCTCTAGAACAGAAAATGTTCTGTAATCTAAATTTAAATCCATAAATAATGAACAACACTTTGCAAACATCACTTGGTGTAAATAGCAGACATTTCACACCTTAGTTTAGTGACAAATTATCACCATTGCTGCCCATTATGAGTGAGAACACTGGGCTCCCTAAGGGTTCACTATATTCTATAAAGAAAAACAATTATTCTAAAATCCATTTTACATCCATTTGCAGGGTGCAGTAGGTGTCAGTAAACAGAGCTGGGACATAATGTGCTATAGAGCCTCTTCCATATTACCTCTATCCCAGGACTATACCAAATCACATCCCGCTTAATTCATTTGGGGTTTGCGATTCAGTGGCAGCTGAAAGTGTATTATTAAACTACTTAAACATACCCTGTGGGATAGGGGAAAGTCTAAGTTTAGCCAACGTTACATTTTTTTTCCTCCAAGTCTTAGATTTTCTATTAAATTCCCTCTTGTCTGGCTCCTGTTATATTAAAATTCATGTTCCCTCTAATTATTTAATAAAAAGTAAATAGAAATGCAGCTTCTGTGGGGATGTGACCTTCTCTGTTCATTTAATTTGAGGATGTTTTTCTTAGATAAACAAGGAGCGGAGGTTACAGTATGTTCTGATACTGATTTGCTGAGGAAATTAG